ACGGGCAGCTGACGATCATGCAATCGGGAGGCGCCCTGGCCACCCGGACGGAACGTCCTTGCGCTCACATCACCAGAGTTCGCGTTAGTTTGGCGACATGCATGGCTTGTCCCGTGGGGGCTGCGAGCTCGCAGTTGCCAGTGGAGAACAGTTGGGCAGAGCCCTGCCAAGCGATAGCCCTGGAGGTCATGGATGGCCGCAACTATCCTTGTCACCCACACCTCAAGGGCATGTATCTGCGGCGCTGCCTGAAGACACCAGGGGCACTTGGCATGAGAGGTAGCCAGGCCCTCGCATACATAACCCGAGAGCTGCACACTGCCGCAGTGGACGCACGCACGGTGCAAACTGGGAGGCATCACCGACCCACGCTGAGGGCGTGCCACAAAACAGGACGCCGTGCAGGGAGGCTGGAGGACGAGGAGGACGAGGAGGACGCGGAGGAGGAGGAGGAGGAGGAGGAGGAGAAGCAGGCGGAGGCGGAGTGGGAGGAGACGAGGGCGGGAGAAGGAGGAGGAGGAGGAGGAGGAGGAGGAGGGAGGAGCAGGACGAGGAGGAGGAGGAAGAGGAGGACGAAGAGGACCAGGAGGAGGTGGAGGAAGAGGAGGACGAGGAGGAATATGATGAGGATGGCGGAGGATGATGAGGATGAAGAGGATGATGATGATGTTGATAATGAAGATGTTGATGATGATGAGGATGTTGATAATGATGATGCTGTGGTTGTTGATGCTGATGATGATGATGCTGATGATGCTGGTGATGCTGGTGCGTTTGATGATGTTGATGCTGCGGATGATGATGACAATGATGATGCTGATGATGCTGATTCCGCGGACGACGATACTCATGATGATGCTGGTGTTGCTGATGATGCTGCTGATGATGATGATGATGATGATGATGATGATGCTGATGCTGATGCTGATGTTGCTGATGGTGATGCTGTTGATGTTGAGGATGGTGCTGATGATGAGGATGATGGTGGTGATGCTACTGATGCGTGTGTTGAGGATGATGATGCCGACGACGATGCTGATGCGGTTGATGATGGTGATGCCGATTATGCTGATGCTGATGCTGATGCTGATGTTGATGATAATTATGTTGATGGCGATGATGATGACCATGATGCTGCTGCTGCTGATGATGATGATGATGATGATGATGATGATGAGGGTGGTCCTGATGGTGCTGCTGATGCTGATGCTGCTGATGATGATGCTGATGAGTATGCTGTTGGTGATGGTGATGCTGCTGCTGCTGATCATGATGATGATGATGATGATGATGATGATGATGATGATGATGATGATGTTGATGCCGCTGATGATGATGATGGTGATGGTGGTGCTGATGATAGTGGTGCTGCTGATTAAGCTGCCGATACTGATGATCACGATGCTGCGGGTGATGATGATGATGAGGATGAGGATGAGGATGAGGATGAGGATGAGGATGATGATGATGATGATGATGATGATGATGATGATGATGATGGTGATGGTGGTGCTGATGATGATGATGATGATGATGATGATGATGATGATGATGATGATGATGATGATGATGATGATGATGATGATGAGAAAGAGCGTGTTCTACCGCTGCTGGCGGAAAACCAGGGGGGCTCACTACCGGTTCGAACCCCTCTCCCCCCTCCGGAAAACCGGGGGGGGGTCACTACCGGTTCGAACCCCTCCCCCCCCCCAGTTCAACATGAAAAGGGGGGGGGGTCATTACCGGTTCGAACCCCCCCCCCCCCCGAGGGGGGGTGCGGACAGTGGTGGGGACGGTGGTGGTGGGGACAGTGGTGAGGAGACAGCGGGACAGTGGTGGGGACAGGGGGACAGTGGTGGGGACGGTAGTGGTGGGGATAATGGTGAGGACAATGGTGGGAACAGTGGGGACAGTGGGACAGTAGTGGGGACGGTGGTGGTGGGGACAGTGGTGTGGGGACAGTGGGAATGTGGTGCAAACAGTAGGACAGTGGAGGGTACAGTGGTGGTGGGGACAGTGGTGAAGGCGGTGGCGAGGACGGCGGTGGGACAATGGGACAGAGGTGCTGTGGGGACAGTGGCGGGGACAGTGGGGACAGTGGTGGGAACAGTGGGACAGCTCAGTGGGTCAGCGGAGGAGTCAGTGGGACAGTGGGGACAGTGGGGGTAGTCGGGCAGTGGTTGGGGCCGTGGAGAAAGTTGGGAGAGTGGAACCGTGGTGGACACAGTGGTGGGGACAGTGGGGACAGTGCGACAGTGGTGGTGGCACTGGTGGGGACAGTAGGGGCGGTGGTGGAACCAGTGGGGACAGTGGTGGTGAGGACAGTGGTGCTGGGAACAACAGTGGGGGATGTGGTGAGGACGGTGGTAGGGACCGGGAGTCGTTTGCTGGCTGTGAGAGGGGGGGTGGGGAGGGGTTCGAACCGGTAGTGACCCCCCCTCTGCGGTTTTCGAGAGGGGGGGGGG